TCCCATAATAAATCTTTGAATCTTTGAGTTAAGTGCTGTATAAGGTCAGGCAAAGGAACATACATGAATTATTACTGAAATTCAGTGAATGAGGAAAAACACTACCAAAGTTTAACTATCAATGATACAAACCATAAGCCAATAACTTAAGACAAAAGGAAAGAGATATTACGCCTTCTAAGTTGCTTCGTGCTTCAAAATAATGAGATCAGTAGTCTTGAGGACTTAGAAACCAGAGACAGTCGAGCAAGATGAAAATAAGTTCGGCTTGTGATGTAAGAGAGCTATTTGTTCCTCTTTGGAGATTTCACTATTATCGAGTCATTCCATATCGCAAGGCTTTCGAATACGCGACAATCCGAATTCATGATGGTTTGAAGATATGGTCTCCACATACCACTAAGAAACAGATGAGTGAATTTTTCCTTAGAAACTGTCAAGAGAGGGGCAGTTTAATTTTATATTATGGTATTTAGTCACAGGAAAACGTGGTGGTCACATGATGAGGTGTACGCAGATAAATAACCCGTCTTTCTTTCCGGGCTTTCTGTATTACGTTATTCAGTTATTTAGGGCGTGGAACCCGCAATATTCCAGATGTAAGTTACAATCGTGCGGTTTCTTATTGTTCATATGAAATGATATAGAAGGGGGGAGACTACGATACGCTCCTTCTGTTAAGATCATGTGGTATCCGTTTGCGATCCATCAGTCTTAGTCATAGATCTTAAAAGACCACCGAAGGCCTTGAAGCCATCAGCACAGGCGATTAGACTATCGCCTTCATCAACGGAAATAGCTCTAGATGTTTACTCTTTTCTCTCTTTTAGGCACGAAAAATGCTTTCCAGTCACGCTGAAATCGAAACTTGTAGTAGACAACGGAATAAATCACAACATGAAGTTGCTCATATTCTTTGAGGTCAAACGGAAAATAAATGTTACGGCATCGCTCGTTCAACCAGATATAACGTAGTGAATTATTCTGAAAAATGATCCACAGTTACAAACCAATTTTTTTACATGTGGTGGTAGAAGCAGTTTTTCAGATGATTTCTGTGACGCTCACTATTATCTTGCGTGTGATGTGTTAAACGAAGAAAGCATTTGATTTAGGAAAAATATTTAAAAAGATCCTAAATATTTTGCCGTCAATCGTGAGTTCCTAGAAATCTCGCTTGATTCGCATTCTGAGTTGAATCAGTCATAATAAAGACCGTGGGTTGAAGCGTGTTAAACAAATCCTGTTAACATAGTCCGAGTGAAAAAGTGATGGAAACTACCCCATAAGCGTTTAAAAAATAAAAATGTATAACTCAGCCTTATCTAACCCATTCATATGCACCTTTTTCAAGATCTTCATTTGACATCTGCCGGTTCTGATTTCATCAATTTTGTTTAGTTCGTATGATTGATCTAACTGACAATGGTCCACTTAAAATGTGTGAGAGGGAGGGGACCATCTCATGAGCGGAACTTTCAACCCTGAAAAATGTTGTGGCCCAAAGTTAACCAAGAAAGCCTTGAGACACTAAAACATTTGGTCTATTCTCTCAGTCTTTCTATCTTGAGATTGCATGATAGTACCGATCATATCATTGGATCATAAGTGTACCAGAGAGGCTTGGATTTTGTGTTGGATGACGGTGTGCAAGACTACAAACTGGGGCATGAGCGTGAGCAGCGAATACACTCAAGTATTGACCAAATACACCATAACATCCCCGCCCTCAGTGCCAGTAGAAGCCTTCACATCAACTGAACAGTTGCTGGAAAAGGTTGGTTGATGCACACTGGCCTCAAAGAATGATGGTCGTTTGAGGACCAGAAGGAACAGACCGCTGGTTTTACAACTCGTGGTGATTCTTGGCGTAGAAGCCTAAGTGTACGTGAAATTAATATTTCACGACTGTGCCACTT